CCAGCTAGAGGTGCCTGCACAGACTCTGTGGTTTGGGGACAGAGGGAGCTCAGGGGCAGCCCTAACTGCACCCACCGGAGAGAAACACCCCCCCACTGCTGTCTCAGTGTGCCCATAGGCTCGCTACTCTGCACTTCCAAAATGTAGGCCCTCCCGAGGCTTTTGAAAGTATAAACACAGAGAAGACCTTCAGGGAACTGAAAGTCCAGCCTGCAGGCACAGCCAGGGTAACAGTACCAAACAAGGCCCATAAGCCACAGGCAGGGACACAGTCCAGCTCTTCCTGAGAAGCCGCAATCCCTCTTCCCAAGCACCCTTACCCCTCTGTGGTGTTTTCTGAGAGTCCCCTGTTCTAGGACTTTGTAAACATTGGACCTTTGAAACAAAACTACTCCCAACCGTGCCAGAGAAGTGCGTAAGAGCAGGCGAGGGGAGGTGGCAGAGTACAGTGCAGCTGGCACCTCTCACTCCACTGGGCAGTGGGCAATGGATGCCTGAGGATCCTGCCTCAGGGACTCTGGTCCAGTGCATGGGAGGAGGGGCCCGAGGACCTGCCTTCCCGGAGCTCACAGGTGCTGCTAGGGCTGCTGGCCTACAGGCCACACAGCAGCAAGCACCTACAGGGGCAAGAGCAGGTGCGGGAGTCCCAAAGATTGGACCCAGCTCTGCCAGAAGCCAGTTCTGTGACTTTGGGCTGTGAAGGAGAATGAAGAGTCAGGTTCAAATGTCTGCTTGGGGAGGGCTGCAAATTCTAACTTCGGAAAGAGTGGCTTCAAACCTCCTGGGTCACCTGGGCTGCCCTGTCCCCAGCAACGAGGGGGTGGGGGTAGGCAGGAGGTTAGAAGAGCTAGAAGAAGATCATTGCTTAATGAAGCAAATGGGTGGCAAGGCTCCAGGGAGCCCCCCTAAGCCTGCTCCTCTCAGAGGCTTGCTGTCTCCCTGCCACTGCAGCAAGAGATCCTCCCCTGCCCCGTGCCCTCTCCTCTGCAGGGCAGGTCTGTGGGGCCTGTCCTGGCCATCCCTTCCACTTCCACTTTGTTCTCAGGATGCTGGGACTTCACACTGCTGGGCCAAGGAAAGTAGTTGCACACTCTGCCTCTCCAGTGGGGTTCCCAGGCCTCTTTCTAGGGTCCTCTTCCTCCCAGGCCCCATAGGAACTCCTTGGGAGGGATTCTGGCCCTCTGCACCCTTGAGAGCAAACCTGATCCTGTGGAGTCCATAGCTGGGGCTAAAGGCGACGTCCTTTCACTAGGTCCAAATCTCAGTCCTTCAGCACAGACCCTGTGGTCTTCTCGGGGCTCCTGAGGCTTCAGGAAGCGGGGAGCGAGCTGGCTGACAGGGGCATTCCCACTCTGGTCCCGATATCCAGCTGCCCAGCAGGGCCAATGTAAGGCTGTCAGACCCTAAGCCCCGTGCAGGTCGCGGCTGCCCGGCGGCGCGGGGCTTCTATCCCACTGGAGGGCGCGCTCTGCAAGCCCGCAGGGACCATGACCAGGAGGCAGGGCGCAGGCACACCGGCCACCTCGATGTCCCCGCGCTCCTCTGCTGCCCTGAGACAGGCGGTCCCCGAGGACAGCCTTACAGGGACAGGGTCAGATCCTGCTATTTTGCCGCCCAGTTCCAGGTGTCCACAGCCTCTTGCAGGCACGCAGTGGAGGGACACCCCCAACTCTGCAAGGGCGCCGGGGGCGGTGCCCAGCGCAGGATTGCCATCCTCGGGCTTCCAAACTCTTGAGAGTGCGGGGACACTCACTCCCAGCCCACTTCAGCCCCGCCTCCCGGGCACTGGGCGAGCCTGCGCAGACTGTCCCCCGCTGGGTCAGCGGCTGAGTGGTCAGGGGCGGGTCTTCCGGCGCAGATACGGCTGCGCCTGCGCCCTAGTGAGATTGGCGCAGGCGTCGCTGTTAGCCGGGAGTGGTCCCGCGACACAGCCAGGGGGGTGGAATTTCACCCTACTGCCCCGATGGGCTAAGACCTGGAAGCAACACCCATCTTCAGGTGCCTTCTTTTGTCTAGGTCCCATACCCTGATTTGGGGCTTTCCGATTGAAGTCCCTGGAAATTTGTTAAAGAGGAGCCAAGAGAATCTGTTAAATGAGGGTCCCCGGAGGGTCTCCAGGCGCGTGCGTCTTAGAAGGCGCCCGGGAGATAACTGGCTGGTCACTCCTCGCTCCTGACTGCCATTCTATGGCTGTCTGCTCCGCTTTCTCCCACTGCCCCCCGTTTCAGCTAACTTTCTCCTGTTTCAGAAAGGGGAGTAACTAGGGACCTAAAAGAAATGGGGAAACGATTGAATGTTAAAACCGTAGTTTTCTGGAGGCCGTCCGCAACCAAAGAAGGTGCCCGGAAGATTGCTTTACAGATCGTACTTAGGACTTTGGGGGAAGCCACCCATTATATCAGGTGGCTTTATCCTTTCAATCTGTTTCACTTAAACCACCACTCAGAGCGGCACTGATGGCCAGAATGGCACAGCAAGTGCCCAGTAATAAGTCTTCTTCCTCCTCAAACCTTGATGGATAGTGGGCGTGAATTCCTTGGGAACCATGGCTGGTAGCGTATCTGTTCTCTTCCTCTGAAACCAAAATGGTGAGAGGATGGACAAATGAGAAAAAAAATGTTGATATCATTGGTGGCGCAAGGTAATTAGGTAGAAATGGAACTTCTTCAGAAGAACTTGAGTGGCCCTGCCTGTCCCTGATATCTTTCCTTTTGACATTGGCCTACTAGAATCTGTAATTTTCAGCTGACACCAGATCACTTCCTTCTCACATCCAACCAGCTGCCACACTCTAAATTTTCTTTACAATCAGTCTACCTTGGCCCACCCTGGTGGCACAGTGGGTTAAAGCACAGCACTGAGAAGCTAAAGCCACTTCAGCATGAGTTCGATCCCCGCCTGCCCCAGGAGTGCCCACATGGTGTGGCAGACCTCTCCTGCCCTCCGGCTGCTCCCCTCAGCAGTGTACTTCATCCATCTGCCTGTTCTGCTCCCCACTCTGTCTCTGGTGAAGCCTCTCACCCTCCGCATCTCTGGCCTGTACCCCAGTTCTGTATGAATAAGTAAATAAATCTTAAAAAAATAAAATCAGTCTATCTATCTACCTCTCCTTTGTTCAGGCCTCTACATCCCCTAGCCATACTGTAACACTATTCTTTAGAGAGGTCTGGCTTCTTCTAGTCTGTCCCCTTAACATCTGTAAGACAGGCCTTGCTCAGATAATCAGGACTGCTCTCATCACAGACCTGGTCTAGGACTTAAATGGTAAGGTGTATTCTATCTCCATTTTGAAGGTTTTTTTTCCATCATAAATTGATGTTGAATTTTTTGGGAAAGATTTATTTATACATACAGAACTGGGATACAGGGCAGAGGTGCAGGAGCAGTGGGAGGATTCACTAGAGACAGAGTGGGGAGCAGAACAGGCAGATGGACAAAGTCCACTGCTGAGGAGAGCAGCGGGCAGGTCAGGAGAGGTCTGCTGCACCATGTGGATCACCTCCAGGGCGGGGATGGAACTCATGCTGAAGTGGCTTTAGCTTCTTAGTGCTGTGCTTTAACCTACTGCACCACCAGGGAGGGCCCGGATGTTGAATTTTATTGACTGCTTTCTACACATACACACATATGTGAATCTTATCTTTCCATTTATTAATGAGGTGAAGTATAATGATCAATTTTCCTATGTTGAAACATCTTTGCATTTCTAAAATAAAATAAATCCCTCTCGGTCATGTTTGATCCTTTTAATGCATTGTTGAATTTGGCTTGCCAAGATTTTTTTTAAGATTTACTGTATTTATACATACAAAACTGGGTAGAGGTATGGCCAGAGATATGGAAGGTGAGAATTGACCAGAGACAGAGTGGGGAGCAGAACAGGTGAAATACATTGCTGAGGGGGGCAGTGGGTGAGACAGGAGAGGTTTACTACGCTGTGTGGGTCAGCTCCTGAGACTTAACACCTATGCCACCAAGCAGGCCCTTGCTAAGGACTTTTTGAGGACTTTTACATCTAAGTTCATCAGGAATATATTTTTCTGTAGTTTTATTTGTTGTTGTTAGGGGGAAATACGCAATTTCAACATATTAAACAAACATGACACATAAAGACACTATGAATAAAATACTTTGTTTTGCAGAGACTGCTTCTCCTCCTTCTCCAAATTCACAGAAGTCCGTTGGCCACTGTTGATGAAACTGCAGTGCGCATGACCTGTACTCGCGGGTTGTAACCAGCCCAACCAGCACACTGT